ACACACACACACACACACACACACACACACACACACACACACACACACACACACACACACACACACACACACACACACACACACACACACACAGATTAGTGGATCGTGGTTGGGTATGTTTTACTGAAGGAGGACCTTGATGTTACTGGGAGGTTCAAAGCTTTTCCAGCTCCTCCTGTGGTTTCTAAATGTTCTGGGTTGACTATACGCTCTGCTCTATGCTACAGTATATTATAGAGCGAATTTCCAAATACCTACACCATATGGAAACTTTAGTGGTTACTAGATTGGTCTTTATAGGCTTTATTAAAGTTGCACATGTAGTGTAGATACAGTATGTGACTGTATTGTTAAAGTATCTTTCTTACTTGAGGTTTAGATTTAAACACAATATCCTATCCAGTTTAGGAGCACCAGAGATACCTAGGTCTCGGTCTTATCTGTCCATAGTAGGTTTACGGATTAAGATGATGGTCTCAGTTGCAAGGGCATTAGACAAGGAAATTGAAAATGTAGCTAACCAGCTTGAACCGCATGGTAATACCAAATCTGCTTAGTTTAGGTAAAAATAGGACACTTTTCAGCTTATGGCCTCTACTATGACAGTAATAAAGAATAGTTTGCTAAAATGAAAAGTGTGCAATTTTGGGTAAACATTTAGTTTAGTTTTGATCCTGTAGTTTAAGTTAAATATGACAATTGTTTAAGCCAACCAGAATGTAATGGACATCTTTGCAAAAGCTTCAAGAGTTGTGAACAAAATACATCATTGTGTTTAGTTACTATCAAGGATGAGAATACTTAACAGAAGAAAAATAATGTTTCTAAAGCAGAACCCAACCGAAACATATTGGTTATACTTGCTGTTAGTGGACTCTCGACTAGCCCGGATTACCTAAAGTGAATTTCGCGTAAAAGTGAAGTGCTTTTTCATGTTTTTGTAACAACATTCTTTGCATTTCTTTTCAGCTGTGATGAAGAAGAAGCTAATTTTCTGACCAATGGAACCTGGTTCATCAGAGGATCACCTTCTTCACATACTTGCGTGGCTCAGCCTTCACGCATTGCTCAGGATTATCCACTGGAATGGAGGGAAAAAAAGGAACTCCAAAACCAGCGGAGGGAAAAAGGCTCAGATGTTTTTAGGAGATTTTAGAGGATGTAGCTGTTGAATCAGTCAAGACTTGTGCCTAAGATTACCTCTACGTATCCGAGGGGCTGCTGTGTGAGCCATCCCATCCACTGATGTACTACAGAGGTCAATAGCCTCAACTCTGGTGGACTTTTTGCATTGCCACAATGATGGCTAAGCTCTGGGAGCCTGTTGTAATATGTATATTTATGTGACTGAAAATAAGAACAACCAAACAAGAAGGCCTGGTTTATTTCATTTATATGTATTTAAATTGTGCAAATACATGTGAGAGATGTGACTACCTTAAATCAATCTCACCCTACATGGTTTTATATGATTTATTAAGAAAGGTTTTTCTACTGTGGTAGTAAGACATTATTGTAACAATCGCACTGCTACTTACATATTAATACAACACTAGAATAATGTTAGAGGTGTTAACAGTCTACCTGTCACCTATTGAACATGTGTGGACAGAATTATACCTGTAATTTATTTATGCAGCCTGTTGGCAGAGTAAAAGGTAAAGAGGGTTGTATTTTGGTACAACTATGTGTGTCATAAGCCATGTCTTCCGGGCAGACAGAGTGACACTGGGCTGGCCGTGTCCTGCAACAATGTGGCACTCGTTCCCTCTCTGTCCCTTCTCTTCAACATTACTGTGATCCAATGCGGCCTGACATGTCAGCAAGGCCTGATGGCCTTTTGGTTTTCTGTCAAACAGGATCATATCAGAAAATAAGACAGTGAAAGACATGAGAGTATGTCACAAGAACAATTCAAATTCCTTATCAAAAGATGTATATTTTCTGTATGCTGCTCTAGTCTTCACAATGAGATCATGCTTAAATTCTTTATAAGCTAAAAGAGATTTATATTTATATATATATATATATGTGTATGTATGTATGTATGTGTGTATATATATATATATATATATATATATATATGAACATAATTCATACCTTTGACCAACTTATTGTGTATGAGCATTTTTCNTTTATCCGAAAGGTGCAGTTAAGTATTTTGCCACCATCGATGCCTGTTGCTTTTGCTCTTTAATGTATCAATGAATGAAATAAAAAAACAAAGCAACAGGCATCAATGAGTTTTGTTTCACATGGGAATCGGTTTAGTGAACCAGCAAACTGACACCAGACACCACAGAGCTTGTATACAAAAGGC